AAATTGTCCTTGTTCACAGCTATACAGGGAGTATGTCTCTTCCTATAAGACATGTTAACATTTTTACTTCAAACTCAGAGTTATAAAAGAGTTTTTTTCCCTCATCCAGGCAAAATTAAATTGATAGACAGTAGGTAAACCACTTTCTGGATTAATTAGAATGTTTTTCCTATTCTAGTTTATCTAGTTTATTCTAGTTTATCCTTCAATGTTAGGAGACTGCTATGAGCAAAGTATAGAGAGGACTGCCAGTCTGCTAGCACAGAGGCCATCATAGTGTTAGTCTTATTTGTAAAGTATTTGGCACATCAAATTGTATTCAAATGTACTTACTTTTCTAGTTCTTCAATGATTTTTTGAATTCATATATATAGACATCTATCTATCTATCTATCTATCTATCTACCTACCTACCTACCTACTACCTACCTACCTACCTACCTACCTACCTATCTATCTAGTTTCCTATTACTGTTCTAACATTGATGCAAATTTAGTACTCTGAAACAAAACAAACAGTATTTTAGTATTCAGGGGATTAGAAGTCTGAAATAAGCTTTTTTGGGTTATGTGCAGGTATTGGCAGGGCTGCCTTTTTTCAAGAGGCTCTGGGGAAAATTAATTTCCTTTTCTTTTTCTAACTTCTAGAAACTTTCTGTGTTGCTTGGCATGGCCCCATCTTCTACCTTCAAAGCCATCAATAACTGATAAAGTCTTTTTCTCATTGTATCACCCTGACTCTGATTCTCTTTCTATGACTTCTAAGCACTCTGTGATTACATGAGATCTATTCTGATAATCCAAGATAAACTGCCCACCTTGAATTTTTTAATGTACCTTCAGAGTTCCTTTGTTATGTAAGGTAGCATATTCACAAGTTCTTGGGCTTAGGACAAGGACATCATTGGGAGCCATAAATCTGTCTTCCAAATCTGTCTTTCTAGATTTGAAATAAGTTTATATATATATATATATGTATATATATGTATGTATGTCTTAACAGAACTTATTTGTAGCTCATTTGTAGTTCCAGAAGATAGAACTATAGTTGATTGCATGGTTAGAAGTTATACACAGCTTTTTCCTCTAGTTGGAGTATTTTTCTAATGCTAAAAGCATGCACACATGTGTGTGCATCTGTGAGTATGTGTGTTAATAAGCTCCTTTTAGTACAGAAACATGGATTAACACGTTAGCACTGATATCTTGAAGATCCTGCATTCAGTGGGAGACTATATTTAATTACACATAAAAAAATCTCTATTTATATGCATGCATGCGTCTGTGTGTATGTACATGTGCGTGTACACGCACAAGTGTGTGTTTTGTGTGTGTGTGTGTGTGTGTGTGTGGTTTTAAGCATTACAAATTTATTATCTTGCAGTTTTGGAGGCCAAAAGTTCAAAATTGATTTGGTAGAAGTTGAGGAATGCTATTTTGTCTACCACAAAGCCATTGAGATTTGAGTGGTTTTGTTATATGGCAATATCATGACAAAACCATAACATCTAAAACCAAATTACTCTGTGTTTATTTTGGTTTTGGCCTAGATGTTGATCCCTTTATTAAATAAGGCAAAGGAGAAGGGAAGTGGGAGGAGGAAAAGAAGAGAGATCTTATATATGTATAACAATTGGGCATATGATTGTGGGAACTCGAGTCCAAAATATGTACAGTAGACTTGGGAATAATTAATGAGTCCAAAGTCTGCAGGGTGGAAAATCAGGCAGAAATTTGTATGTTACAATTTTAAAGCAGAATTGCCTTTTTGGGGAATCCTCAGACTCGCCCTTAAGGTCTTCAGTTGCTTAGATAAGGCCTGTTCACATTTTGGAGGGTTGTCTCAAAGCTTAAACATTTAAATGTCTAAAGCATTTAAAAAATATTTTCTTATACATCTAGACAGATGTCGACTGAAAAATTAGGCCCCATGGCTTAGATAGGCTGTCACATAAAATTAGCTACTACACCAGACCTTCTAGCTTCCTGTTCCATGTTGTTCTTCTGTACCACTTTATCTCTGTCTTTCTATTTTCTTTCCTCCATTCCTCCCTTCTTCTGATATTCTATTTAGTTCTTGTTTTGCTGCAGCTTTATTCTGTATTATGAACTTCTGATAATAATGTAAATTTCCCCTATTTCCTTTGAAGATCATTTTTAGATTTGTTTGCAGACAGTTTTGAATTTGTTTGGGATTCTTGGCACTGAATTCACTAAGTATATTTAGTGTGTTTTTCTGCCAGGTAAACTTTTTAGGCCTGAGGCCATTCAGAGAGATTAGGCATTAAAGATAGTCAATTTATTGGGATTATAGGCATGTACTGTCACAGTTGAGAAGAACCTTTTTTTTTTTCAATTTTTAGGAGACAGTACTGAGTATTGATCTCAAGGATTACATACTGTTCCTTATCTTTTTTACTTAAGGCTAGCACTCTACAGTGGTTTTATGAAGATAAGAGTCTCTTAAACTTTGTTACCTGGGCTGGCTTTAAACCTCTATCCTCACATCTCAGCCTCTTGAGCAGCTATGATTATAGCCATGAGCCACTGGCATCTTCTAAGAACCTTGTTTCACCATTATTAATAATTTAAACTTCATGGTAAATTTTGTATATATTTGCATATGCAACATGATGGTTTAAAATATGTAAATAGATTAAGTGAGCTAATTAACATGCACATTACCGCTCATTTTTTGTGTATGATAAGAACAAAAAATCATTGTGATTTTTGACATACAAGACTTATTTAAAAATAACTAGATGCTTATGATTGTGATTCCAGGAGGGAGCCAGGTAGAAAAAATGCATAATTAAATTTATAATTCCTGAAGATAACCTGAGGGCTAGAGAAAGGAATGTTAGGAAGACAAAGGCTTGAATAATAGATGTTCAGATTTATTATAGTTTAGATCACTTTGTGCTCAGTTTTATACATATTCACTCCTTTTGTGTAAAATAGCCAAGAGTACCATTTCCATTTTGAAGATCAACATTCTGAAGAAGTCATTCTATATATATATATATATATTTTTTTTTTTTTTTTCTCAGTTGTGGGCTTGAACTTTGGGCCTGGGTGCTGTCCCTCAGCTCTTCAGCTCAAGCCGAGCGCTCTATCACTTGAGCTACAACACCACTTCCGGTTTCCTGGTGGTTTATTGGAGATAGGAGTCTCACAGTCTCTCCTGCCCGGGCTGGCTTTGAACTGCGATCCTCAGATCTCAGCCTCCTGAGTAGCTAGGATTACAGGTGTGAGCCACCAGCGCCCGGCTTCATTCTATATTTTTAATAATAGTACAAGTTGTGGGATAAAACTTGTAAACTCAGGGAATATTAGATCTTAAAACGTACATGGTCCAACTACTTCCTCTTTGTTATTTTGACACAGAGTCTGAAGATGTCACCCAGCTTGGTGTCAAACTTTAGAGCTCAGATGAACTTTCCACATCAGCCTTTCAAGTACCTGTGACTACAGCTATAGTTGGCCACGTCTGGCTACATTTTTCTTACCTTATGTTATTTTTCTACACTGCTTCTGATTTTGAACAGTTTTTATAGTTGGACAAAGATGCAATCCAACAATTAGTTGACATTTTCCTTTTCATAACTCCTTAGTTTTAACAAAGACTGTGGAGTTAATAGTATAGACTAAATTACAATTAAAAGTATATTTAGATGTACTGTTTGAGAAACACTTTTTGTTTTGTCTGGTAAAACTGGACTGTAACCATGTATTAATTGATTAGATCTTTAAAGCCCAGAGAACTTCATGATAATATAGAAAAGTTTTGGCCTATTATTTTTGTCATGGAAGTATATTTTTGAAGGTATACACCTGTCAAATTAAAGGGCTGTTCTCAAAATTAACAGTGGGGCCCGGTGCCAGGGTTGCTGTTTCCTGTCATGTGGTGGGGAAGTCTGTAGGATGTGAGATTCCAGCTCTGAAATCCAGCCAGTGTTCTGGGTCTGAAGTGGGCGGGGCAATAGAAAAAGAAAAATAGCACATTTAGATTTTTTTGTGCATTATTGCTATTAGGAAGATCTGAATTTAAGTCCTAGGCCCAGTTCCATTCACTGGCTTGTGACTCCTAAGAAACCAATCTCTTTATTCATCTATAAAACAGGGCTAATGATGACCACTTCATATTCTTTAATTTAGAGAGAGAGAGGGATTATGAATGTTAGACATAACTGTAGCATGATGCCTGGCATACAGCCTGTACTTGATAAATTAAAATAATAGCATCCATGGTAGTGATTTTTAGTTTCGTTTCCTATAGTAACTTCTTACACGATTGCTCTAGTTCTGTCTTCTTTTTATGCCTATTTCCATACTATAATGGAAATGTATTGAGAACATGAACTTTGAAATTATGAAATTTAATAAATTTTTAGACCCTGATGAATGCCCTATGCTTGGGGGTCTTCTAAGTAGCTTGTTACCATTTTAAAAATAGCACCTTATAAGTATCTTTATCTGATATTTTTAGGTATATTTTAAAAAGTGATTCATAGTATATATTACTTTCAAATTATTCTTCTTATTTATCTTCTAGGTTCTTATATATTGGTTATAAAATTAATTAGCTATATGTAAATCGTGAAGATTTAGGTCAGAATTGGTCATCAGTAGACTGACTTATTTTTAATGATGTATCAGTTTGTGGAGAAAGAAAAAAAGATGTTTCCAAATAGTAGTTTTGATAGAGCACACCTACAATTCTACTTTTTGGAGATTTAGGCAGGAGGACTACAAGTTCAATGCTACCTAGTTAATGAGACCTGGTCTTAAAAACAATGTTTTGAAATAAATTAAGTAAGATCATTGTTATCAGTCAATGAAGTGATAATTGAGTTATCAGTCCATTTTAGTTTTTCCTGAATGTTTTAGAGACGTATCTTTTATTAAACACATCAATACTAGCTTTTATGTAACGACTATCTTGTGCTTCTGGAAAACTGTTTGTTTTTCCACTAATGGTATTGTAAATCTTTTTCCAGAGCATGAAGGGCAAAAGTAAAAGCAGTCATGATCTCCTTAAGGATGATCCACATCTCAGTTCTGTTCCAGTTGTTGACAGGTTAGTATGATGCTGGTGTGAGCTTAAGTTCTTATTTTCAAGCTCAGATTCTTTTCTTCCTTCCTTTATTAGTAAATACTCAGAGTCCATAAATCCAAATTTAGAAACCTAGTTAAAAGATCAAACAAACAAACCATATTTTGATAAAAAGCTGTAGAGCCTCTAGCATGATGTCACTTTCAGTCTTCTTTCTGGCTACTTCTGTTGAAGTAATTACTCTTAAAATTATTAGTTTATATCATCTTAGGATAGTGTGATTACTGGAAAGTTGTTTGTTTTAACAGTTGAATATTTAATTGCACGTTGCTTTGCTTTTTGTTGAAGTGTTCTTGTCTCAGTTGGTATGATGGGCAAGCAAATCAGAGTGTAAGGTTTTGGGAAGAAGTTACTATATTTTAGGCCAATTCACTGAGTAAACATTGTCACATAAACTCAGGTGTTAAGAGGTTAAGGTTAAGAGGTGTTACTGTCTTTGTTGCTTCTTACTGAGAAGGGAAGATGTCTTAATGCAGATGATATATTAGGCCAGTGTCTTAAAAAGGGGATCTAAAATAGTATTGGAATACTGAGTTCAGCTCATTTTTAATTCCAAAAGTCTTTTCTTAGGATCTTTTTTATTAGAAAAAAATTGTTTTCTGCAGACAAAATATCCTTATGGATTTTTTTAAAGCCTTTGTTAAAAATCCAGTGATTTCGCATATCTGCTACTGGAGCATACATCTTATTCTGCCTATAAATATCAACTCAGTTGTAAGACATTTCCTCTGCTCTACAGTGCTGTTTTGAGATTCGTATATAGAAGTGAGTTTTTGGAATATGAATCCTAACAATTAGTAAAAAAATTACTTTGAAGGTAACATTCCTTTTACTTATTTTTTGTAGTGAAAAAGGTGATACAACAGAAGATTTGGATGATGTAAGTATTCATTTTATGTAAATACAGCTTGAATTTATAGAAAGCTGACATTTTTCCAAAATAAAATATTTTCCTTAAAAGTAACACTTTATATTAATATTTGTGCAGTTTTGAAAAAAAATTAGTTCTTAAGAATTACCTTAACATCTTGTTGAAAACATTCACAGTTTCTCTCACTAGAGGTTTTGGTTTACTGACTCTGCAATAGGGGCTGAGACTAAACATATAGCCATGTAAGAATGCTAATAACCTGATATCCAAGACCACTATTCTTGGGGTTCACAAGCCTCACTCAAGAATAATGCTTTACCATGACTCACTAGGTCTAATAATCACAAGAGCAAAATGATCCACTTAGTATAGATTGTTCCTTCTTTTCTCTCTTTTATGTCTTCTTCAATTATTAATGCTAAAGGTCTTCTGAAAGTTAAAGATATATCGGTAAACAAAGCAAGCAAGAATTTTAGCCCTCAAGGAGTATTTCCTTCATTATATGAGAAACAGTAATCATAAATAATAAGCACATTTGGAAAGGAAGCCTCTGAAGGGGGCATAGAAAGAATTAGAGGCGGGAAAGTGATTATACCATTTCTTAGAACTAGCAAGAAAAACATCACTGAGAGGTTAGCATATGAACAAAGGGTGAAAGAAAGCGAAGGGCAAGAAGATGGATATCTACAAGAAGAGTATTTCAGGCTAGAAAGAACAACTGCAGAGTTGACTAGTGTTGCTGAGCTAGAGTTCTAGAATATGTCAGAGACAGGTAAAGGCTTTGAGTGAATTGGTGATCCATTGACGTTTTTTAAGAATACTGATACCTATAATTTAGGTTATAGGTATAAATCTCAGCTTCTTCACTATATCTGTTCTCCTTGAATTAACCTGTCAGTATGTTAGCCAAGTGCCTCAAGAAACACAGTGTCCACTGGCATAAGAGTAGAAATGTTGGGCTGGGAAGGTGGTTCAGTGGTAGAGTGCTTGCCTTGAATGCATGAGGCCCTAGGTTCGATTCTTCAGCACCACATAAGCAGAAAATAAAAAAGCCAGAAGTGGCACTGTGGCTCAAGTGGTAGAGCACTAGCCTTAAACTGAAGAGCTGAGGGACAGCACCCAGGCCCAGAGTTCAGACCCCATGACCGGACCCCCCCCCCTAAAAAAAGAGTAGAAATGTTGATAGACACAATATACAGACATAATATATAGAGGGAGCAATCTGTTAGAGAGGCTGGACATACATTGAGCAAATAACTCTTCCTGAGTTATTCTTATTCTCACATAGTAAGACCATAGGGGTATTCCCACCTGGAGAAGATTCTTTTGAACATTTCTGGTTAAAAAAAAAACAAAGCAAAGGGAAACAAAGCAAGACAAACCTGGACTATACAATGAGAGTCAGAGATAAATCTGTGGAAATGAAAGGAAAATAGAATGTCTGGCAGATACTCAGTTTCAGTTTTTTTCAGGATGGAGAAGATGAATGTGGAGGAGATGAGTATATTGACAGTGATGAGAAGAACCTGTTGAGAGAAAGAATTGCAAAGAAATTAAAAAAGGACATAAGTACAAATGTGAAATCAGCTGGAGAGGGAGAAGTGGAGGAGAAACCAGTGAGCCGCAGGTGAGTCGGCTGTTAGGCTTCTGGGTATCAGAACTTTTATCTTTTTACACTTTGACTCAACTGAGATTCAGTGGTTTATTATACTAATTTTCTATTAAACAGATTTATTATTTGGTAATATTTTGATAAATCTAACAGTGGTACAGATTGGCCTGTTTGGAGAAAAGAGACCAGGCTTAAATACGTATCTTTTAAAAATGACTCTCCATACTTTTACATATAGCTATTGTGTTTGTCTGATACCAATGAGAACACTTGAGTAATTTGCATTAAAAGGAAAGAGAGGGCCTCAAAATAATTTAGGTGAGTAAAATATGTCAAAACTTGTGAATAAACTGTATGGGTCCAAAGACATTTTTAAGTGTCTCAAGTCTGATTGAAAATTCCATAGTACTATAAACCCTTCCTAATTTCAGTGGTATCATAAAAGAAATTTCAGTCGATGAAAAAAATTCAGTCTGGTGATAAATTTTACTGAATTTTGTGACTCACCATTTTTCTTTCCTGAAATTTGACTCAAGTAAAAACCTTCAGTATGATTCTCTTATTGCTACTTTATTATATACATTTTAAATAATGCTGCTTCTAAAAAGTAACAATACTTTAGAATATTATTTGTCTGAGTTTGGGATAAGACAGAACTATATATAAATTACATTTTTCTATTATGTCTCAACCTTATGAAGGTTAGGAATAAAACCCTTTCCATTACACTAGTCCCTCATTTTCTTTCCTTTATATAACCAGAAAAAAAGTGATCCCCAGAAATTCTCACTGAAGGACTCTCTCTTCTTTGTCTTCAGTTTCTCCCTTTGCTGGACTCGCTCCCCCTCCTTTATTTATGAATAGGCTTAAGCCTCTCCCCATGTTAACAAAAGTTCTCCACTTTATTTTCCTCCTGACTTTTCATTTATTTCTAATTACAAATTGTCTTTCCCTCAATTCCTTCACTGAAACAAACTCAGTTCCTTTCACTAATAAATGTAATAGCTGTTTTTCAATTGTCTTCCTTGGCTTCCGGTGCAAATTTTATCCTTGGAAAATTTTATATTTTGTCCTTCTTGAAACTCATCTCCTTCAAGAACCTTACCATTTAAATTGTTGTCTGTTGTCCAGGAACATTAATTTCACATGGGGGGAGTTTCAAGCCAGTCAAAGTAGCTTAAGCCTATAATCATAACTGTTTGAGTGGTGGAGATCAGGGGTCACCCAAGCCAGCCTGGGCATAAAAATTTGTAAGACTTTATCTCACTCAATAGCTGGGTGTAGTGGTGCACACCTGTTATTCCAACTATGATAAAAGTATAGTGGCTGAGTAAGGTGGCTTGCCTGTCATCCTCAGTGAAATGAGAAGAGAATTGCAGCCAAAGGCTAGCCCTAGCATAAAGCAAAATTCTACCTTGAGGTCCATTAACATAAAAAGAGTGCACAGTCATTGAATGCCTGTCTAACAAGTAAGGCCCTGAATGGGGAGATGGAGGAGAGGGAGGGAGAAGGGAAGCAGAAGAGGAAGGTGAGGAGGAAATGAAGGGGAAGAGGAAAGGAAATGGAGAGAAAGGAAGGAAAGGGCAGGGAAAAGGGCAGAGGACATTAGACTGGCCCCCCTCACACCTTATTGGTACAGAAAGTATATTGCAATTTAGAAGCTAATATCTTAACTCCAATGTCAGCAACGTGGTACTACATTCTCTTAACTCTTCATTTGTACCCTCCTCACAGTTCTTTTCAGTACATATGACTTTAAGCTAATTTTTTTCTTCTTCTCTCTATATTCTTATGCTTTCTTTGCAGTTTTGATTGTGTCCATTTATATTTGTATTGTCATGGTCAAACATTATAGGATAGTATTCAAATATTTGTACAAATGAGTGAACCAAAACTGAATAAAGTAGAAATTTCTTACTCCTCCAACAAATTCATGCTCCCTTGATTCCTTCTGCAGTGTGAAATAATGTAGAAAAGAAATATATTTCATAGCATCACCTCAGATAGGCACATATATCAATTGAACTTGGTTTGAGTCTTGAAAAACATTAAATGTCAGTATAGCAAAGCACATAATTTTAGAAAAGAGAGAGTAAATAGTTACTATTTTTAAATAATTTATTCTAGTTAAAAAATATTTGAACATTTAAACATATGAAATGAGGTCCTACCTTTGACTAAGTTAAGAAGTTTTGCTATTAGGCCATGAGAAAAAAATTTTAGTCTGTTTTAATGTGCACTCAGGTTGATTGAAAGCTTGTGATAGTTTGTCTTTTAGTCTTATTTTAAAGCTTATTAGAATCTTCTTTTGCCTGTAGGTGGAGCTCAGCAGCTGCAAATTAGTCATGTAAACTAAATTGAGTTTTCATCCTTGCCTGTTAGTTTCTAGCATCTATGTATCTGATAATAAATGACTGAACAATAAAAATAAGGCGAAACAAGCAGACTAGTCAAAATGAAAATACTGTCATTTTATAAACTTTCTATCATTTAATTTTATTGTGATTCTTCTAACATATTTTCCTTGAATTGTAAATCAAAGAAATAATGAAACATTCTCAAATCACTATTAATGATTTTGTGATAATGTTTTAAAATTTCTCTTTGGCAGTACTCAGGACCACAAACTCACTGTGCTTTCTTGCTCAGCCCAGCTCTGCATTTTGATAGTTATTTTGAAAATAGAGTGCCTCAGACTTTTCTGCCTGGACTGATTTCAAACTTACATCTTTCTGGATCTCAACCTCTTGAGAGCTAGGATTACAGTTGTAAGCCACCTGTATCTAGCTAAAGATTTAATAAAAATCTTTCAAGGCTAACCAGAATGAGATTAGTTTTGGTGTTTGAACAGGTTCTTGTTTATCAGCCATGTTTTATTTATATGACATACATGGATAACTATAGTGTTCCTTTTTTTTTTTTTTGGTCAGTCGTGGGGCTTGAACTCTGGGCTTGGGCGCTTTCCCTGCACTCTTTAGCTCAAGGTGAGTGCTCTACCGCTTGAGCCATAGCACCATTTCTGGTTTTCTAGTGGTTTATTGGAGCTAAGAGTCTCATGGACTTTCCTGCCTGGGCTGGCTTTGAACCTTGATCTTCAGATGTCAGCCTCCTGTGTAGCTAGGATTACAGGGCCTGGCTGATAATAGTGTTCCTTTTTCATGAAACAGACCTCTCATTTGGTACAGTTCAGTTATTTTCCTCATGAACTACATTAGTTTGACTAAATTTGAAATATCGTATTATAATGATAGTATTGAGGTTGAAGATCAGAGGCTGGACACATAAATGAACAGTTACTAATGTTAGTCTCACTCTGTCTTCATTTGTTGGATTTGTAACATATAGCCCGGATTTCTTGTGGAAACTTGAATTTTTTTTCTGAGAATTTCTAGACACGTCAAAAAAAATTTAAGCTTTCTGTTAGCCTTAGAAAATTTGTGAATGTTTCTGTACTTTGTGTTCTGGTTTTGTTTGCTTTATGATCAGACAGGAAGTATATGGTTATCTGTAGGGTGTAAACTTGGTTTTCTTTAGCAAATTCAAAACAAAATTTCAATATTTAAATTTCAAAAATTGAAAAGATAGTACATATTTTCAAATTAGAATACAAATTTTAAGAGATAGTACCACAATAAAGACTGGAATCCACAGGCATTGTAACAAACCAATTTAAATGATTAGACTGATCATCTACTGCTTTCATCAAAACATATATAAAGAAGAGTATCACCTATGTAAGGCATTTCTGTCTCCTTTCATTTTCTTTTAGCCTCCAGGTAATATACTGAAATAAATAGAAAACAAAAGAAGAAAAGAAATAGAAATGTAGGACTATTGGTTTGTGAATAAAGAAATCTACAGTTTCTTTGGTCTGGAGTAATAATTTGGTCTGGACCAAATGTATTTTTTTTAATTTAATTTAATTTTATTTGTGAACATACTGTACAGAGGGGTTACAATTGCATGGGCAGGATAATGCGTACATTTCTTACCAAGCATTGCAGCCTCCTCCTTTGTTTACCCTTCACATCAGTTCCCAGACTCCCCCCTCCCCCCCCCCCCCCCCCCCCCCCCCCCCCCCCCCCCCCCCCCCCCCGCACTAACGTTGTAAAGCTCGTTTTGGACATGACAACTTGTACTTCTCATTGTGGACCAAATGTATTTTAAGGAAATGTTTAGGTTCAACAGCAGATTTTAACCATTTAAATCAGTCTTGGTTTTGATAATGTTTGCATGCAAACTTAATAGTTGCTTTACATATTCTTTTTCCTAAACTTTCTATTCATAAATATATGTTACTCTTGTATCTAGCAGCTATATAAGAACTACTATATTCCAGGCTCTTGGTACCTGAAAATACAGAAGTGCTTCCTGTACATGTTTATTACATTCTTGCTGTGGTTTGAATGTGTACCTCCCAACGATCATGTGTTTGAAAAACTTCAACCCATGTAATCCTGTTGACAGATGAGTCCTGTAAGAGGTGATTAGATAATGAAGACAAATCAGTGATTAATATGACTACTGCTAGAATGAGCCAGTTATCTTGAGAGTGGGTTTCTGATAAAAGGAAGCGTCTAGTATATTTCTTTCTGTACTTCCCTTCTTTCCTCTGCCCCCCTCTCTGCCTCTCATGCAAATGCACATTGAACACATGGGTACCAGATTACCTTACTACCAACAAGTTCCTTACTAGTTGTAGAACCCTCAGATTTGGACTTCTCAACCTCTAGAACTGTAAGAAATAAACCTCCGTTCTTTATGAATTTTCCAATCTCCAGAAATTCTATTATAGCCACAAAGTAGGAATAAGAATTGCAAGGAGTTAATTACAATTTAGCATCAGAAGTACCCTACTAGATATACCTATAAAATATTATGGGTATTAAGTAAACAATTATCTATGTTTCAGCAAAAGATCAAAACCAGGTTTAAAAAGTTGAGAAGAACTATGGTGAAACTTACTTACAGTCCAACTTATAGTAAGTTGAAACTGGAGGATGGGAAGTTCAAAG